TTGATCCCAAACAGACGGAAAAGTCTGCTGAGTCGGCCATGAACACTCCCAGGCAAATCAATACCGGGACGTTGGAAACAGTGGAAAAATCATCTTCTGACTGAAAATAGCAATTAAAGTTAATTGTTTAATACCTATCCAATTAACAATACACTAGCAAGGTTTATAAGTGATATCTTGCGGCAAGAAGTCAATTGATTGTCACAAAATCTAACACTCCCCTCCCCCTTGAAGCGTGTCATCATATATGCATCACCCCCTAGATAAAGTTCTGAAGAGAATAGATTGGCAGTGTAAAAATTGAATAGAAGTTGAAGTTTAGCGAAGGGCCATTAATGCGACAGTACTAGTCAAACGCTCCCTAGCTCATTCATTAATGGATGAGGGGAATTGAGGTTTTTCCTCAAATTCACAGGCGAAAGAGTGCGCGTTGCTCATATACTGTTTTCGGCTGACGAATAGTTCTAGCGACGTTTATCACTACCTATGTTTGAAACCTAAATTTACTTGTATTTTGATGTACCTTTTTCAGTTGTAACGTTTCCCGTTGAATATCATTTTTTTTCTCCGAGTATTTTTCTTCATTATCTGCAGTAAACACTTAAAATCACTTGTTTAGATCAGTTTTCAAATGAAAGGTCACTTTTCCAATGCAAAAATAAAATGACAATATATATTTTTGAAATTGCTATAATTTATGTCAATTTTAAAAATTTGAAGAATCGTTTCCAATGCAAATTTGAATTAATGAAATAATTCGATGATACTCTCTGGTATTGTATTGAAATGTTAGAGGGCTTTCAAATGTAATGATAGGTATACCTTTAACAGTTAAATAGAAGTGCATAAAGTAATGGATTAAAAGCAAGGTGATGTGTTTTAACAAGTGGTATTTTTTTCCTCGTTTATAGATATAGTTCTTGATTGGTAATACCACAAGATGCGAAAACTCCGCTCTTGTGCGGTTTCATAGAAAACCTCAAGGTAATTTTAAATGAATTCATTTTTGTAATTAAAATCTAATTCGGTATTCTTGTTGGACCACAGCGTCCAACGGACGCTTTTTATACGGGCTTAAAGCCCTTCTCAAAAATTAGACGGCCATCTTGCGTCACGTCACGACCCGCGAAGTGCATGTGCAGGACCGCCTTACATAGGTAGCTAAACGGGAAAAGTGGCCTATCCGACCTGCTGTGCGACTCTCGAGGAGGCTGTTTCATTTCGTCCCGTGGTGGCTGTGTAGCAGAAACACACATCCCTGGCAAGACTAGTACTTGCTGAAGCCGTCACCGATGATGGTGGTGTTAGTGTTGAAAACACGTTCTTAAGCTAAATTCATGTGTACCGCATGATTATATCGCGTTGAAAGTTTTTAATGGTGTAGTAATGCTGTTATCAAATCCAATTACAATGCACTTCATTTTTAGGCAACGACAATTCCTGTTAAACACAGTAAACAGCGCCTATGGCACAACAAATATTAAACAAAATCCTTCCCGCCAATCGCGGAAAACTTCCCTAACAACGTATCACGCATGAACAGAGCTTATTTGCGAATATTTGCAGCAGCTGTCAAATGTTGACGTAAAATCGAACCAGAGAACCAAGATTTTTCGGCTTCACGCACAGTATATGGGAATGACATTTGTGTCATAGATGTGCAGAAACAGAGTATGCGAAGGCCATCCGGTGAGACACGTTGGCTCCCTCTTAGAGACGATCTGGTAGAGTTTCGGAACCCCAGTCGACGCCCTTTCCCGCATCTTTAATTCGGCCACTTTGCACGGGCGCACTACTCGCAGACGCCGGTTGGTGAAAACTGCCTTTACATCGCAGTGACCGCGAAACATCGCACGCTGTTCGTGTACCCCTCGACTGCAGTGATCGCAGCAACATAAAATCCTGCGCAGGTATGTGAATTATGGCCATGTACACACACACTACAACACTTACACTCACATCCAGTGAATTTACGAAAAAAGAATAATACATAAATGAATTCAAACTATCCGTTATTTTTATCTTTATTTTCCAAAACCGTAGCCCAGTGGTAATTACAGTCCACCCAGGTATACTCTTGCGTTACGTTTCACCTTGCTTTGATCCACACACTTAGAAAAATTCATGTAAATTTAGGTGCTCTGAGACTGACATATACGAGCGTCAATTTTGACATAAAATTGAGTCATAATACACTGAACGAATTTGACATATTCCTGTTATGTGGAAGTCTAATAAATTTGCGCTATAAGATAATCCATTGAAAATGATATGATTGAAAATGTGTCAGGTAAATTCTATATGAATATCTGATACATTTACAATGCTGATAATTTGGTAACTTTTATATGATCGTCATATGATAAATGAAAATCGATCAAATTATAATAATTAACTGAAATGGATTTGAAACCCATAAGCATAAGCTATACTTTTCACCACAATATAATATATGTGTCATAAATCAATCGAAGTAAAGTTTATGTGAAAATAACATGAAATTTACTTCTTCTTTTGACACATATATTTAATCGATTTCTAAAAATAAATTCGAAAAATAAACATCAGGCAGTGGGAGCTTTCACAGTTGTGCCTTTTTGTTATTGTAGCTGATTTGGGATTCGATCAAGATCTGTTGAGGTGTGATGCTTTCGGTGTCTGTGCTCGATTCCACTGGGCCACGGCTGACTTCAAGAATGAGCTCGTTCAAATAGCATGAAGTAAGAACAGCTCTCCCGACATGGAATGTAGTGCAACTTTATGCTCGTTTTGCTAGAGTGAAGACAAATAGCACTGACAAATTTATGTTCCGTTTCGGTGGTGTGGTTTGTTCAAATCTTTCTTAATGCACCTGTGTGCAATAAATCAACGACTAAATTATATGATTTGATAGAACTGGCTCATGAAGTTCGAATACTACTTAGGGCTGGAATCTGAATTAGCCGTGTAGAAGGCTTACAATTAGAATCATAGCAAAGTAAATATTACAGTAGAATCATTTTTTTTTCAATCTCAATACATTCTTTTCTGGAACCAATTATCATATGAAACAATAACAAACAAAGATTATTCAATACAGTATCATTGTTGTTAGTAGTATCATGTAGTATTTAGTTCAACTAATCATTTTAATGAGTGTACGTTAAAGTCGTTGAAAATTGTTTCAATAATTTATAAATAACAATCATGTAGGATGTATTTTATTGGGAGCGATATTCATCCCAGAAAAAACATGCAAAACCAAATGCTTGCTGTTGGATTTCTTAAAAGGCATTTCTATATGACTATTTAATGATTGGGATAGATCTGTTCACAATCTTTAAACGTCAAAAATCAAAGCAAGCTATTACAATGAGATATACATGGTATACAAAGTATTATCAAGTACTAAGTATGTGAAATTACGATAGAAATCATTCCATATCGCAGTCATAGTTTTTAAGTGATAATCCAATGGAATCTATCAATCATCACATAGAATGAATAAATCTGCTGACATTGCTATGTTATAAGATGGATCCAATAAACGGTACATGTCGATTTGTTTCAGTGTAGACGCAAAATTCAGGTCAATCTAACGTACTTTCGAACTTTTCAGTCTCAGAGCACTTAATATTACATGACATGTTTGTTTACGTCTCATCCTTTATGTCAAAGATGGATTCCGTCACGTGTAAGATTAGGTATTTCTAATAGCGAATTCGTTTATTATCGGGGTTAACACCAGTTCCAACCCAGTGCGAAACCGAACTTTTTGTCAGTGTTAACCTCAACCTGAGCTAGGTTTTAAAAACAAACGACCAAACTGACGTTTGTCAGAAAACAAGCAGACCCAATCTTGATACCCGATCCAGGTTGGAACTGAATAATAAACGAATTCGCTATAAGTGTGCAGAGTTCACTTAGCACACATTCACAATGCTTCATTCGGAAAGAATTCCGTCATCTTGATCGGTCGAATTATTCGTTACAGTTTGGCTGCGTTCATAATCCAGTACCGTTCGGAAATTTCCCTTTGAGAACGTCGCTCATGCTTAAACGGGCTTAGTCGGGCAAACTGAAGAGAAACGACCAGTGACCTCTCGTTATCGAGAGTGGCGCATAAGCCACTGTGTTTGCAACGTCTGACTTAGAAAATTCTACGGACGGTTACACAGTTTAATATAATATTAAATATGTTTTATTATCATTATGACATTATAAAAAAAAATTAGCTTGAATTGTTAATTATATGTTTGATATAACCTTGAGAAACTGCGAAATGTAATGCGAAAAAGGACGCCCCTAATTCCTTACAGTTATTTTAGGGTTTCCATTTGAAGGAAATCAGATCTTCTTCATATTTTTGCAGGGATTGAAAATTCAGCACACTGTTGTCTCATTCCGTAGAAATTTCTGGTACTTAGAAGGTCGTCCCAAAACTGCTCGACTATATGATTAATTGCTATGACTCTGAAATCGACATAGCACAAGTTGAATCGGCAAACACGACGAAAACCGTGGCAATATTCTGCTCTATCGTAAGCCGTGCGTCTCCATTCAAGTAACGAATCCAACAAGACGGTTTCTTTGGGAATCATTGTACGAAATATGAGGGTGGTTGTCCTTCGTATTAATAAGTAGAAACGGAATTAATCAAGATTTTATTCGAGAGGATGCTTTCACTTGAGCATTCAAAGGAGACTCAGTGTCATTTCCCCCCTTTAAAGTGAGCTTGTTTAAGATATCACTCATTACTTCTGTGAAGGTGTTTGCAGCCAATTAAGCGTCGCCTTATCAATTCTATGTAATAAAAGTTGGAACCAAGCGAAACATCCCCAATTAGAAGAGCAATGATTGCTTCCTCGCTTGGTGTGATGTCAGTGAAAAGATAGCGAATTGTCATAGGTTAGGCATAGGCATAAATATGAACCGTGACGCATCTTCCGCTCTGTTATCACTGGCTTGGAACTTTGGATCGCCTTTAGAAAGAACACACCCGTTCGTTGGGTTGGGACATTTTCTCGCATTTAAATGTAAATGGGTCGCCATGGTGCCAGTGTAGTTGCAGTTCAACCAGCGGTGAAACCACATCGCAGTATTCCTTGCGGAAAAGCCATGACAAGGTACGTCAAAGCCAGTCTATGAACCGTGAAATTTATAACCAATCCTCAATTTTAGTCAATTCAATCAGGAAGTTCTCGCCGAACACAACCGGTTGAGAGCCCAGCACTCGGCAGCCCCGTTGGAGCTGGACGGATCCATGTGTCGATACGCTCAGGAATGGGCGGACAATCTTGCCAGAAGGAATACCCTTCAGCATCGAACCGATCAGAAGTATGGGGAAAATTTGTATGCCATGTACGGCAAGACGGATGTCACAGCCGGGGATGCCGTGCAGAGTTGGTACAAGGAAATTAAGGATCACACCTTTGGACAGCCTGATCCGGGAGTGAAGTTCTCCAAGGTGGGGCATTTTACGCAGCTCGTTTGGAAGGAGTCCAAGCGGCTGGGTGTGGGTAAGGCCATCAACAGCAGTAAGGCAGTGTACGTGGTATGCAACTACGATCCGCCGGGAAATTTCAAGAACCGATACGCTGAGAATGTTTCGGCCAAGTGAGGATGGGCAGTAGTTGACTAATGGATGGATGTTAAGATAGTGTCGAAAAACATGTGCAGCTAGTTAAGGTTCCACAAAGGGTCACTACATTTGTATTCTTCTTCCGTTTGAAATCTTCTACATACATCATTTTCTAAATGTATTGGTAAAATTCATTGGCAGTGCATGTTGCTGCGCCAAAACTATCCATGTTTTATAAATATCAACTGGTATGGTGAGTAAAATTTAACCCATCCCTTCATTTCAATACAACAGCAAATGTTACGTCACATTACCATTACTATAGTGCATAAAAATGTTTAGACAAAAAATTCACATTGCTAGACCGAGCTGTATAAAATCGTGTTAATCCAGCTGAGCAGTGATGCCAACATTCTAGTTTTTTGGACGCATCCAGACAAACACTTCTAAGCATCCAGTTTTTTGAGAATTCATCCAGTTTTCATTATTAATAGCACATAATTTGACATATGACAACCAGTAAATAATAATTAAGACGCTTAGCTACTCAGATTTATTGTTTTTCCCGTTTTTTAGTCAGGGGAGCGAAGCCAGTAAAGTTTTATACTAAACTGATAACTGTTATCATTGTAGTTGAATAAACAGCCAAGCACAAATTAATACAATAAATGCTCGTTGAATATCACAAAATAACTAATAAATAAACTGTTATCATTCGTAACATCTTGATTAAAATCCTTTGATCTATGCATTTTTTTCCAACCTACTTCAAATTATGACATCGATTTGATACTATAGCATATTTAACTGACAACTGGAATATGATAAGCGATGTAAAGCACATTTTTTAACCATGCGGAAAATATTTAGTGTTTTGAACTAGCCAGGCATTGTTCGTAAACAAATAATGCTTTCTTTCATGATAATAACTAATTACAAAAATAGTTACGATTGACAACTAAATTCGTTAGCGATAACAACTGAAAACAAAATGATAACTGGAATAACTAGACTTGTTATCTAGATGATATCTATCCTTACCCGGGTAGCATCTAGAGTGACTTTCCAAAACAAGCATCGTTTGGAGAAGATTATTAACGTCCAGTGATCTATTTATGTATCAGCATTTTTTTCTTTTATCATTTCTTAACAAAAATGGGGAACGTAAATTATGTTTTCAATATTACAAGAATGTGAGAATAATCCTTGGATTACTCCTGGAAAAATCACGCATTGTCCGGAGGTCATAAACTACTTGGGCGTTAACGGGTTAAGGTTAAGGTTCTTCTTTTAGAAGCTTTTTCATTAGAATCTTCTTTTAGAAGCTTATTCCAGACGCTTGCCCGTCGCTCCACTCCTCTGACTAAAAACGACGGGCAGGACAGTAAATATGATTGGCTGAGCAGTAAAAGAGCATTTCTCTTAGGTTTAAGGAGCATTTGATCGTTTTAATATCGCAAAAAAAAAACAATTTTCTCGTTATCCTTACTGATGTTGAGTACCGTAAATCGGGGGTAAACTGATCACTGGGGTGATGGAACAAACTGCTGTAAATAAGTTCGCTTTCTTGGAACGCAACGCAAGTTTTACCATTATTGCTCAATAAGTTTGTTTTAAAATCATTGATCCTTAATCTGAGCTTCTTCATTTAAAGTTGATAATAGAGAGGGTCTAGTATAAGAGAGGAGCGGATGCAAAACAAACTGCTTTGGCAACCTATGCTAGATGGTTTCTAGCTAGGGGCAAGACGGCTGTACTCAGAGTTAATATTTTCACAGTGAGCAAATTTGAGTAACTCATATTTACTCAAAAGTGATCAAAGTAGTCTCACATTCGACAAGAAATTAAAAATTAAATCAGTATAAACATACATTATCTATCAGAGTGTCAGAATAATCCTATCCGTATTTTATTTTTTGTATTCTTGCATCAAATACTCATTAATCCGTGTGCTCTTCTTTTCAGTATGAATTACTCTTGTATGCGTGGTCTCTACTATCGTGGGCAATAAAGTTGACAAATCAGGAAAAGATATTTCCGAAATGATCCGGAGAAATGAACCCGTTATTTGACGTGCTTTATTACGAATTGCCAAGGGTGTGTTCTTTCGATGGTTAATTTAGCATTCTATTAGCAGTTTTGGCATTGACTCTTATAATGATCATGCATTGGAAAGTGCTGATTAAAGGGTGATACGGTCAAAATTTGGTCAATATCAACTTGACGTATTTCTTTCAATTTTGCATTTAAAAAACCTGAACACCCCTCATTTTGAAGGTGTGTGTGTGTAGAATGTTGCTCCTATTTTGATTTTGGAATTCACTCTTCAGTTGTCAAAATGCCGTCCAAGCAAGAAGAGCAGCGTATCAAAATTTTGCTCGCGCATCGCTAAAATCCGAGCTACTCGCACGCAAAGTTGGCAAAATCGCTAAAAGTTGCCAAATCAACCGTTACAAATGTAATTAAAGTGTTTGGGGAACGTTTGTCGTCAGCCAGGAAGTCTGGATCGGGGGGAAATCGAAAACCGGAAGCCGCTGAGACGACAAAGAAAGTTGCCGGTAGTTTCAAGCGAAACCCTAACCTCTCTCTCCGAGATGCCGCAAATAAGCTGGGTGTATCGTCTACAACCGTGCATCGAGCCAAAAAACGAGCCGGACTATCGACTTACAAGAAGGTAGTGACTCCAAATCGCGATGATAAACAAAATACGACGGCCAAAGCGCGATCCCGGAGGCTGTACACGACGATGCTGACGAAGTTTGACTGCGTGGTAATGGACGACGAAACCTACGTCAAAGCCGACTACAAGCAGCTTCCGGGACAGGAGTTTTATACGGCAAAAGGAAGGGGAAAGGTAGCAGATGTTTTCAAGCACATGAAACTGTCAAAGTTCGCAAAGAAATATCTGGTTTGGCAAGCCATCTGTACCTGTGGCTTGAAAAGCAGCATTTTCATAGCTTCCGGGACTGTCAACCAAGAAATTTACGTGAAAGAGTGTTTGAATAAACGTCTGCTGCCTTTCCTGAAGAAACACGGTTGTTCCGTACTGTTTTGGCCGGATTTGGCATCTTGCCATTACGGTAAAAAGGCCATGGAGTGGTACGCCGCCAACAACGTGCAGGTGGTTTCCAATGACAAGAACCCTCCCAACACGCCAGAGCTCCGCCCAATTGAGAAATACTGGGCTATTGTCAAGCGGAACCTAAAGAAGACCAAAAAAACTGCTAAGGGCGAGCAGCAGTTCAAGGCAAACTGGCTTTCTGCGGCGAAGAAGGTGGACAAGGTGGCTGTACAAAATCTGATGGCAGGGGTCAAGCGTAAGGCCCGGCAATTCGGATTTGGAAAAGCGGAAGCCTAACTGAATATTTTTCCTGAATTTTATACTAATTGAACTTGAAAAAGAAATTTAATTTGAATTTTTAAATAAACGATTTCACCGATTTACACGCGTTTTCCCTTGACCAAATTTTGACCGTATCACCCTTTAGACCTATTTTTAGTTTTAAGTCTGTTCTAGATTTGACCAATCAAGCAACATCGATGAAGATTAGAATCTTAGAATGTATGATTTAATTTCAGCATCTTATATAAATAAGTTAACACGAGTTGTGAATTCTAGTTTGAATTGTTCTGATAGAGCAGTAAATTTTTATATTTGACTTGTCAATGATCTTTCCAATAATCTCGGTTTAAACTTTGTGAAAATTGTAACTCCTCAGATTATTCCTCTCCAAAGTCGCAAGTGAAACGCGATGCAAAGGAAGAGAAAAACTACCATCAAAAACTTCAGTTTTCATTCGTGAGCAATACAGTCCTGGAATCATAAAGCCGTAGTCTTTGAAACCTCTGCCAAAATGTGCATCATCAATACATTAAATTATGTCAACTCCATATTCACTTGAAAATCCCTTTATTATCATCGTAAATCAATGATAAGCATACACAGATTTTGCAGGCTGCAACACGGATTTTGTGGATGGCAATCCGGTATGTAATGTTGTTAAATGATGAACGTAGATTTTCCTCGTCAAACGTCTTTGCTTGACAATCGTGGAATGCAGTCAAAACTAACAGGTTGCTATGTCACCGTGCATTGAATATTGAGCAACTCTAGTTACTCAGAGTTACTCAAAATTTACTCCAATATTACTCATTATCAAAAGCTGTCTCACCCCTAGGTTTCTAGCAACACTGCTAATGTAATCAAGATAGGCGCTGCTCGATTGACTCTGGCTTTGACAGTTTGTTTGGTTCAAAAGCAGCCAGTCCAATCCTGTCTTATGCTAGACCCTCTCTTGTTGATAATAAATAACAAACATATGAATTATATTTAATCACAAACAACAAACAACAAACAACAAACACATCAATTATATGTAATCACATAAACTCACATTCTGCAGATATACTGTAAGTCAAAGTGATAATAGAATAACTTCAACAACTACTGGAACAAGTATTAAAATTCAATCAATAAACTCATGATTAACTTAAACCCCAAAGCAGTATTTTCAAATTTTTGAACAACATTTATTCAAACTAGAACTTTCGTAAATAATTTAACAAATCAATCTGCTAAGTTTTGTTGCCTGTGCTCCAGTCAAGGGGTAAGTCACTCAGCACATTGTACCAAAATTAGATTCGGCACAGCTTGGGCACATTCATCGGCACACCTTCGACCTACCTTCGGCACAATCTCATAGGCATCGGATTGTTGTAAATAAAATGAGAGCACCCCAGGACAACTGTCACTGAAGTTTTTCACAACATTAAGTGCCGTTTGATTGTATATTCAGGAACATCTTCTAATTGAATATACCAGAGGAACTCAGACCTCCCTTAGCTCAGCCGGTAAAGGCGCAGCTACAAAGCAAGACCATGCTGGAGGTGGCTGGGTTCGATTCCCGGTTCGGTTTAGGAATTTTTCGGGTTGGAAAATTTCTCGACTTCCCTGGGCATAGAAGTATGATTGGACTTGCCACACAATTATACCAATGCAAAAATTGTACAGGCATCGAAAGCTCTCAATTAATAACTGTGGAAGTGCATCTAGAACACTAAGTTGAGAGCACGCAATAAGCTAATATGCGATATGCAATAAGCTTGAAATGCGAAGAAGAAGAAGAAGAAGAGGAACTCAGACCAGCAGTTCAATTCTCGGTTCTTTTATAGACCTAAATACGAAATGTAGGTTCTAGAGAGGGCTCAAGAAAAGAGGCAGTTGATCAGACCCCATTAGTACCCTTAATTCAAATAATGCTGCAACTCACACAACACAAATTACAGAAATCATATTCATCATCCTCTATAGTCGGTCTCCAACAATGTTCCCCACCGGTTCCAACTCTTTCCGGCCACTGATAGACCGTTGCTTTTCACATCACGAAAGACTAGGTTTCTGGTCTACCTTTCAGGGCATTATAAAGCTTGAGCTTGAGCTTGAGCTTGATTGACCGCCCACGGTTGCTACTCTGTTATTGCCAGATCAGCTGTAATTACACAGAGAACCAATAGATAATGCTTGGGACTAGCAATCATCCTCAATGTGTAAAAACTGGTGATCTTAAATTAGGCAATACCAGCGCCGGCCGCGCCCGAACACAGGTCAAGAAAGGAATGGGAAGGATTGTGTTGACATGACACTCGTTTTGATGG